TTCAGCCTTTGTTGAAGAAGCTATCCCAATTGGTCCACTAAAAGCCCAACTGATAGTACCATCTCTTCTTCTAATTACACCTCCAATACCAGCTGCACCTGGGTTTCCAAATGCGCTCCCATCAAAGTACAAAGTTGTCTCCCCTTCCTCAGCAACTCTGCGACTATGGGAAGTGTTGAGCTGTATTTGGTTACAGTGGAGAAAATTTATAGTATTTCTTTGGAGGTCAGTAAAGGTGACACCTCTAGAATAATCTGAGCTGGAAGTCCGCAGGAAGCATATGTAACAGATTAAAGAAATAAGCTCCTCACAGTTTTTTGTTCTGTTGTTAAACACCCAGTTATTTCCCTCTTCCCAAATGCTCCAAAATATAGCATGTGCAGCAGATTGCCACAAAGTTTTCCCTCTTTTGCTTAAACCTCTTCATGTCCATTGTCCTAAACATTCAACCACATGTTCTAGGAAAACCCAACTGTACTCAAATAATGTTAGGAAAAAGTTCCAAAATTTTCTGGTTTCCTCACAGTGAAGAAGGATGTGGTTGGCGGATTCCCCGACTTTAAGGCAGAAGCAACAAACATGAGGGGATAAATATGACCTTCCATGATTCTTTTTCTGAAGGAGATCGTTAAGTGTTGATTCTCTTTAAGATGGCCTCCCACACAAAAAAACAGACCCTGGAAGGGATATGGGCACACCAAATTCTCTTGAAGGGGCACTGATCAGTGGTTTGTTCTTCCCTAACTAAAGCATAAAAGCAAGATTTGGTTGAAAACTTACCAGCCAGGTGAAGGGTCCAAACACGAAGGTCAAGGGAATTTTGGGAGAGGCATACCTCTCTCAGGGTGAACAAGAATTTAGTGATTTCACTGAATTCCAGGTCCCTTAGTGGCCTCCTAAGAGAGTTAGGTTCCAATTGAAATGGGGGGGGGAAGGGGGCGGGGCGGTAAAACCTGGGATATGAGAGCTTCTTGGTTTAAGGTGAGGCTGAAAAGGCGAGGGAAGGAGTTGGCCAAGGTTGAGTTACCCCACCAAAGATCAGTCCAGAACTTGATTCTATTACCCTTGCAAACCTTATATTTGATAAAAGAGATGAAAGAAGTGTAAGTCGAGGTTATAGTTTTCCAAGGGTGAGTGTCTTTGACCCGGTTCAAGTGAAAGTTGTTATCCTAACCGTTGGTGTGATTCCCGTATTTGCTAGTGATTACAGCAGTCCATAGCACATTTGGTTTCAGAGGGAATCGCCACAACCATTTACTGAGAAGAGATGTGTTTATTTCTTTCAAGTGGCCTACTCCCAACCAACCACCCTCCTTTGGTTTGCAAACCTGAGACCAGATCACAATGTGAGAGCCCCTTTCTCCACCCCCTTCCCAAATAAAATTTCTCTGAAGCTTTTCTAACTGAATAGCTATTTTGCTGGGTAAGTGGAAAACAGAAAGGTAGTAGGTGGGTAGGTTTGCCAAAGAGTCTCAAATGAGAGTGAGTCTCCCCCCTTTGGAGGGAGAGTTCCTTTTCCACGTGGCTAGCTTCTTCTCACATTTTTCTAGCACTGGTTCCCAAAAACTTTGATTCCACGGATTCCCTCCAAGAGGCATCCCTAGATAGGAGAAGGGGAGATTCTCCGCTTTGCATCCCAAAATCTCTGTGAAAGTATCCAAGGAGTGAGCACCAACTAGATTTAGGCCTATGATACTGCTCTTAGAGAAGTTGACTTGCAGTCCAGAAATCCATTCAAAGCAGGTGATGGCCCTTTTCAAATTTGAAACAATTTCCTCATCATTTCTAGGAAAAGGATAGTGTCGTTGGCAAATTGGAGATGTGAAATCTGAGTGGCTTCACGTCCAACTTCAAAACCTCTCAATAAACCCAAAGAAGTAGCCTTCTTCACCAATTGGCTAAAAATTTTTGTGACAAGAGTAAAAGGCAACAGGGAGAATGGGCAACCTTGTCTTAGTCCCCTGCTCGCGTTAAAATATCCTTTTGGCTGCTCATTAATTAATAATGAGAACCAGGTGGAACTTATACACCCCTCAACCCATTGAATCCACTTCCTGCCAAAACCCATTAGCCTCATAATTTCCATAAGACACTCCCAGTCTACTTTGTCATATGCTTTTTCCAAGTCGAGCTTCACATGTTGAAGGATATAGGGAAACTTGGTGTTGAACTTATGGACTCCTATTGATCCTAACACAAATTGTCAACTACAAATGGGTAGACTATTGAAGACATTACCAGTGTATGACATAGCTAGACATTTTTTATGTTGTTACTGTTATAAGCTAGTACATACACTCACTAGAGATACACATGCTGCACCAGCAGAGAGAATCCTTGCATATCTTAACTCTTAAGGGAGGGCCTGGGAGAGGTATTCTATTCTCTATTCATGGGCATATGAGGGTATAGGGATTCACTAATGTTGATTGGGCAAGTTCCCTAGATGACAGTTCTACATCAGGCTATTATACCTTGGTAGCAGGAAACCTTATCTCTTGGATGAGTAAAAGGCAAACAGTTGTTGTTCATTCTAGTGTTGAGGCTAAGTATTGAGGTATGGCAGATGGGAGTATCTAAGAAACTATGGGTTCAATGCATACTAGATGACTTGGGAGATGATTATGACAAACCTATGATGTTATATTGTGACAACCAAGCAGCTATGAATATCAACTCGTAATTTGGGTTAAGACCTTGAGCTTGTTCTCAGATTTTCAGATTGATGATTTCTTCTGAGCATGGGGGACTATAGCTGTCTCATCTTCTAGAAGACAAGTTGACATAGTAGTATGGTCTCCCCCACCTCGTGACTGGTTGAAACTGAATTTTGATGGGGGCAGTGTGGACAACCTAGGCCCCACTGGAATTAGATGAGCTATCAGGGATGAGGATGGCAAAGTATGTGCTTTTTTCTTGGGTCAAACTGGGCAAAGTGATGTGGCATCAACAGAATTCTTAGCTGCTGTATTTAGGCTTGAGAAAGCTAAAGAACTGGACCTGGAAAGGCTAATTATTGAAGGTGATTCCAAAACAGTTGTAGACTGGCTAAGGAAAGGGGAAGGAGTCTCTTGGCACATAAAGAATGGCCTTAGGAGTTCAAAAGGCTCTCCAGGGATATGTTGATTCAAATTAATTGGGTTAGAAGATTGGCCAACAGTTTGGCAGATAGTTTAGTTAAACAAGGGGTACAAAGACAGTCTATGTTTTGGACCTATCTGTAATATTTGGGGGTTTGGACATTTGGCGTCCTTTTGTATCCTTCACAACTTCTGGTTGCACTGCCTTATTTAACTCGTAATGATAAAATTAAGATTTATTACAACCATGTTGACTATTCCAACAGCCCAACCTTACAATAAGAATCACACTTTAGCCCAAAACAAGTTTTGTCTATTAAACCCTTGTTTTGCTAGTGAAACTACATCCCATTTGCAGTTCTTCTAAACCAGTTAAAATTGATATCAATGTTTTAAAACGTGAAGGCATGACGCAAGGCGTTCCACTACCTAGAAGTGTGAGGCATAGTTCAGACATACGAAGCGTAAGCCTCCCAAACACATGCCTCCTTGAGAGGAGGGGGTGAGGAAGAAAAAGAAGAAAAAAATCTCATTTTTCTTTAATTTTAATAAAATCTTTTATACTAAGAAAAATGAAGATACATAGCACTAGTTGAAAGGGCCCATTTTCTTTTCCCTTATCTTCCCTTCCCTTTTCTTTTTCTTCCCCTTCCCTTTCTTTTCCTTTCCTTTCCTTTCCTTTCCTTTCTTTCTATCTTTTTACATGAGGTGTGCATGAGGTGTATGCCTCAAAGGTGTCAGCGCCTCTGGCATACGCCTCAGGGCGTTTTGGGGGTGCCTTGACTGGAGGCGCCTCCCACACCTTTTAAAACACTGATTGATATTCAGCTTCCTTGATAAGCATTCTATCTCCCGAAAGGCATGCCTATAGACCCAAGGAGCTGGGTTGCTACAACTTGTCCAAGAAACAACCAGTTTCAAATATCCTACTTCTAACTGTAGGAAGCCAAGTTGCTATGCTAATCTCATTCCTTGCAGCAATGCCAAAATTTCAGATCTTAAAAAGTCTCCAACTCCAATTGGTCCTGAGTACATAGCCATGACTTACCTGAAGAATCTCTGAATACACCCCCCCAAAAAAAAAAATTCCTGCAAACCTGGATTGCCCAAGAAAATTCCATATATGATTGTGTCAGTTCAGCCCATATGTCATCCACCTAAAATATTTTAAAGATTTCCAGTGTTCTTATCAAATGTGCAACTTCAACCCTTATACTCTATATTATCTCCTCCTTAGGCCTTCTTTTCTCATTAAAAATTCTTTTGTTCCTTTCTTCTCATACCAAGGATCTAATGGAATACTATATATCCGTATCTTATCATTTCATATTAATGAAGAAATGCATTTTATATGCACTCAGGAACTAGTGTTGATTGAGGAGAAGAGGAAGGAGTTCAGCTTAGCATTTGAAGCTCAAATTATCCTAGTCAGACTTGGATTGAACCTGTCCAAATTGTGGCTCATTGGCAATCTAGACTTTTGCTTGGAGGATCAGAGATGCATTATAAGTTCTGTTTAGGATTTCCATGTAGGCACCATTGTCTATTTAATACAAATTGACAGTAACATTCTCCCAGACAAGGACATAACAAGAAATCAAATGCAGCCAACTTCAGAAAAGAGGTAATAAGCTTTTTGATCAAAATAAAGTCTACTGAATTTTTTATAAGGGTGAAATCTCTCTGTGGTGCAATTGTACTATTTTTCATTATTTTTAATGAAGTTTCTGATCAGTTTACCAATTAAAAAAAGCCCATGAATACTTCCTGCATGAAATTGGAGCTTTTTCTTCAAATTCTCCAAGTAAGAAGGCTGGGATGTCCATATAATATAAACAAGCATAGCAGTTATCTATAGGACAATATAAAAAGGCTTGTCCTTTTATGTAGTAAATAAAAAATTGAGTAAAGCATGCTGACCGTCAAAATCTGAGTAGCCAACTGCTCCCTGGCAAGAGGATCATGCAAAAGAACCACCAACCGTGCAAAGAGATCCTGTATTTACATGCACCAAACAGATAAAATTTATGTTCATACAGGAGCAAACCATCATCACCCAAGATTTATCCCCACTATATGGGCTCGGATCATAGAGAAGAAAATTTGTACATAAAATACATTATATGTCATCTAAGATTCTACCTCAGGGTTGGGAATGTCAGTACGAGCTTTACAGTCAGTAAGAACTGAACTGGCATAAGATGATCTGTGCCTACATAGTTCAGAGATACATCTGCAAACCTGTAAAAACAGCATAATTAGATTCAAGATACAGAATGAACATCACAGTTCCAAAACTCCACCAACCAAATGCCATGTACGAGCAAATCCACACATAAACACCCATTCACACCACCAGGACCTAGTTTAATGCAACATCATACATGCCAAGAACATGCACCAAAATAAAGTTCTTAATAAGGACTAGATCTGTGTAATTTTTAAACAGGTAGAAACAACAAATATGAAATTCACCTACCGTGGCAGCTGCCCCAGTATACTTCCTTGGGACAATCATCTTCAAAAGAAAAGGCCAAAGAACATACTGCAGAAATATTTAATTCCAAATATAAGATGTTATTCGCAGTAAAGAATGTTGGTTCCAGACTAGTAAAAGGATTTTTATGCAAAAGGCAAGTCATTATATATTATGTCCCCGAAAAGAAAATTCCAAGTAAAAATCTATATTTTATGCCTGAAGAGAACAAACAATTACCTCCATTTCAGGAATAGTAATAGTCAGCAAAAGAAGACCCTTCTCACAAATTGATCTCAACTCTGCTGGACAAGCAGCCCCAATCTTCACCTGAGGAGAACATCAAGTCAGTTAGGGGTGAGCAAAAAAAACCGAAAAACTGAAACAACCGAAAAAACTGACCGAAACCAAACTGAAAAATCGGTTAACCAAACCGGTCAGTTCGGTTTTGGTTCGGTGGTTTTAAAAAACTTAAGGTACCGGTTCGGTCTCGGTTAACCAATATAGAAAACTTGCGGTTAACCGAACCGACCGGTATACATATATTTCTATATATTTGTGTATATTATATATTTTTTATTTTTTATATATTATAAATTAATAAATATGCATTATATATAAATATATATTTTTATTTTTATTATGTATATATTTATAATATATATTGTAAAAATTAAAAACCGAAAAACCGACGAACTGAACAGGAAGTTAATCGAATGGCTTCAGTTCAGTTTCGGTTACCGGTTTTTGGTAGTACCAGTTCGGTTCCAAAAAAAAGCACCATGGTTTGGTTAAGCGAACCGTGAGCACCCCTAAGGTCAGTACTGCATAGCATCTACCAATTCAAGGTGACAACAGAGCAGATCAAACAAACCCAGTTTGGGACATGGTTTGTACATATGTGTATTTATCATGTGCATGGCAACACCTTCCATGAGGATGGAATGGGTCTAGGGACCTTAACATATGTTTACAGTCATCTTTTACGGTAAAACCAGGTCAGGACATGTATAAGGTTGGCTTATTGATAGCTTAGTCTGTGATAAGCATGGCCAGAAACCAATTAAGCCCAGTCAATCTACTCCTGTGCCAGAAGTGAGCATTAAAGAAACTAAATTTGGGCAACCTAAATGGCATTTAAGTTAATTTGGAACCTCCAGTCTCTTTTGTTGGAATGCATGGAAAGAAATGCTTGATCGAACATCCTTGGAGTTCTCAAAATTGTTCAACTCCTGATCTGAGATGGCACAATGGTGTACAAGATATTCAACAAACAACTCTCCTGAAGGACCAACCACGTAACAGTTTGATGCCATAACCACTATCAACTGACACCAACAAGCATTTCAATAATACCATTAGTAAGAATTATAAATCTTCTTACCACAAAAAATGCAAAAACCATCCAGCATTAACAATTCAAAGACAATATTATAGCAACCAAAAACCAAAAGGGTGAAAACCCAGATGACGGGGGGTCACACAGAAATCTTATGGGCGAAGTCCTTTGAACAATGCATGACAGACTGATAACAAGCATTTGAGATTGGATTATCAATGCATGATGGACTGAAGTCCATACTTCCTCTCTCATGTTCACATACACAATACAGGCAATTCCTAATCCAACACATCTAGAACGTTCACAAACATAAAATATAAGGCGCCATATGATCCAAGGTGTTTAGTTAAAATAGTCTAATCTTAACAAGTTGGGCAATTAGTTCAAATGAAAAACCAAAATACCCAATTAATGCATGTGTTAATGTAGGGATATTTCTATCTTTATACTTATGTTGAGGTTGYTGATCTGTAATATTATATTAGAACTAGTGTCCCTCACTTAAATAAGGGCACATGTGTCTTTTCCATTATATTAATAATATAAAAACATGTCTGGCCGAATGGGAGAGTGACTTTTCCCTAATTCGAACCAGACTTTTCTTCTCTCCTTTTCTCCTCCTTTCTCTCTCTCTTTCTTCCCTCTTTCTTCTTGGCTGTTATCAGACAAACATAACTCAAAGGCAGGCCAAATTATAACAGCATGCATGGATGATTTGGTTTCGATGAGTTCACATGGTCCAAAAACTTTCTTGCAACCCTACAATAAAGCACATAAAGGCTAATAATCAAGTGAAAAATCAAATCATCCAGTGAGTTCTTACCTTTTTTCCAACCCTAAATAACAGAAAAACCCCACTAACACACGGAAAAACAGAAGCTACCTCTAAGGTCTATTCCCTTACTATGACTATCAAGACTAATATGCTTTTTGTGTTTTCACATGGTCTACTACCTTCCCATGACAATTCAGAAATATGAAGGAAGCATAACATGTTGAGAAAATAGTTCAAGTGAAAAATCAATTAAGCCAATGAGTGCATGCCTGGATGATTTGGTTTCGATAAGTTCACATGGTGACAAAATTATCTCACAAGCCTACAATAAAACACAAAAATGCTAACAATCAAGTAACCTACTATGACAATCAAGAACTGCTAAGGTAGCCTAATATGTGTTGTGTGTGGTCACAGTCTACCATCATACCAAGACAAATTTGAAATATCAAGGTAGCCTAATACGTTCATTGATTTGTTTAAGTGGAAAAACAAATCACCAAATGAATGCATGCCTGAATGATTCCATTTCAATGAATTAACATGGTGACAAAATGTTCTTGCAACCCTACAATAAAACACAAAAATGGTAACAATCAAGTGCAAAACCAAATTACTCAATGAGTTCTTGCCTTTTTTTCCATCCCCAAATGACATAAAAACATCCCACTAGCATATGGAAAAATAGAGGCTTCTTCCAACTTTCCAAGGTCTACTACCTTACTATAACAATCAAGAACTGCTAAGTTAGCCTAATATGTGTTGTTGTCACATGGTCTACTACCATGACAAGTTAGAAAAATCAAGGTAGCCTAACATGTTAAGTGATTGGTTCACCGGAAAAATCAAATCACCCAATGAGTGCATGCCTGGATGATTTGGTTTCGATGAGTTAACATGGTAACACTTTCTTGCAACCCTACATTAAAACGCAAATTTTTTATAGGTAAAAAACGAAAATTTCATTAAAATAAAAGAAAAATTACATGTTGATGGTGATAAGGCATCACCCAGTTACAGCAATGATAAAAGGTTCCATTCTCGATATAAATTTTTCATATTACATATCTGAAATCCCAACACTTCCCCTAAATTTTCCCCCAGCTCCTCTTCATCAAGATGTCTGAATTCTGGATGAACCATAACCCAATCAGCAACCGACTTGCTTACAGCAGCTACTATCCTGTCCATGTTATAGTATTTGGCAACAAAAGTTCTTCTATTCTCCTCCTTCCAAATATTCGAAAAAATTGCAAATGCAATGCAGCTCCAAATCACCTTAGCCTTCTTAGAACCTCTTAACTTTGGCCACAAAGAAAAAATTTCTGAAGCTGAGTTTGGGAGAAAATCAGATACCCCAAACATTTTGGTGAACAATCTCCATAAAAGTCAGCAAACTTGCAGTTGAAAAATAGATGTCTGACATTCTCCCTCCTGTTCCTCACATAGACAACATCTATTAGTCATACTGAAACCTCTTGATTTTAGATGATCCACTGTTAGAATAATGCCCATTGCCACTAGCCAGGCAAAAGCTTCTACCCTTGGAGGAGCTGGGTTTCCCCACACTCCTAACTGATTTGAGTCTGAACTGTTTTTGCTAAGAGCAAGATAACAGGATTTCACAGAGAATTTTCTGTTTGAGCATTCCTTCCACCAGAGTTCATCCCTCATTTGAGAAGAGATCTTCACCTCCTCTAGCTTCCCTAACAGAACAATGCATTCTTCCACCTCTCTATCCCGCAAAGGCCTCCTGAATTTTGGATTCCAAATCAACCATTCTCCTCTTCTTTCATTGCAGCCACTAATAGTAATTTCAGCCTCAGCCAGCTAATATAGTCTTGGGAACAACTCCTTCAACTTGCCAACCCAACACCAATCATCCTCCCAAAACCTAATTCTTGATCCATCTCCTACTGAGAAGCTTGTTAGGCTTCCGAATTCCCTATTAAAACTCATGATCCCTTTCCACACACTCACCCCATATGAAGACCTTACCTCTCTAGGCTCCCAAGTCCCAACCAAACCTTGCCACCCCATACTTCCCCATCACCACCCTCTTCCACAAAGAATCCTCCTCTCTCCCTATCCCAAACCTCCAATAACCACTTCCCCAACAGGACCCTGTTAGAAACTTTCACTCTTCTAATCCCTATCCCTCCTTCTTTCTTTGGTCTGCATACCTTGTCCCACTTCACCAAGTGAAACTTCTTAGCTCCC